CGTTAACGATTCAGATCAAAGCAATGATAGCGTTAAGCGTTATCAAGTGCTTGTTAGTATGCCGGACTTAGTCTTCTTAAGATCTTAAGTCACACAATGGTATTGGGGGTTAAAGTAGGAATGAATTTCTATCTACTTTACAAGCATATTTATATCTGTAGCTACTGGTTCTGGATCTTGAAGGAAGGTTATAGAACCTTCTGTTGTATTCTGTACTGATGTGCTGACTTGGGATTCATTGTCCTTTGATGTTTGGATTCCTCTTTGTTAGTAGTGTTTAAAGGTTCAGTCCATAGGACCGCAAAAAACCGGTGGACTGAACTGAACCGGACCATGGACCGGTCTTTTTTTCGGTTGCAGTTGCCCCAATTTGGGGTTGGTCCAGTTGCCGGTTGCCTCATTTCGAAAATATATTAAAACCGTTCAAAGACCGGTTTTGATCGGTTGCAACCGGTTAAACGGTCACGTGCGTTACATACCCTTGTAACCACGTTTATTACCTTTTATTGGGTTTTTGTTTCATCAAAAACGGTTAAGAATTGAGAAAGATATAACCAAATCCATATTTTACCCGAGTCTCTACAAGATGTAATTCGGTTTCAGTCATAGCTATGTCAAATCTTCATTAAATCTCTTCAAAATTGGTAGAATGACGGGTATTTACATGCTTTACTATTTCATATAACCCGTTTATTTTTCAGAGTAATAATAGTCAAGATACAAATGGTTTATATTGGTATAATAAATTATACGCAAAAAAACCGGTCTGGATCGGTCTGAACCGGCTCCATAGACCGAAATAGACCGGTCCTAGGTGGTTCAGTTCGGTTCCCTCAATATCTGGGTCGGTCCTAGACCGGTTGCGGTCCACGGTTGCGCGTTTTGGGGGCAAAAAACCGGACTGAGCTGAACTTGTGAACACTATTTGTTAGGTTATGCTCCATCCGCCAAACATCATCAAGCAGCCGCGTCGCATGGGTGCAAGTCAAACAGTTGCGTCGCGCGGATATGAGCAACTCGTCAGATTGGGTATATACGTGTCTGCCTAGTGATACTGATATTGTACAAGTAGAGACTGTGGATATTTATGCACAAGGTTAGTAGAGAAACTTAATGGAAGATTGAGAGGTAAGAGAATATGTGTAGATGTGTGAAGGTATTATAACAGCATCACGGTTGGAAACAGAGACTCATCAAGTGGGATGGATTCTTCGATTGAAATGAGCACACAAAATACCAGACGACACTTGTGGCAAAAGCGGTAGATCTCTTGCATGCCGCACATCGCGTTATCAGTGATCCAAAGTTGTTTCGCTCAAGTCTGCAGGTCCAACGCTGTAAAGTGGCCCTGGCTCTGCTGCTGTCAAATTCTTTGCTGTCGCTTTACATCCCTCAGGCTTTCTTGGAGGTTTTCGCATGTTGGGATCTGTGGCTGGCTTTTTGTGTTTGGGCACAGTGATACTATATTGCACATATGTAGCCATCTCTCCTGTACAGGCTGTGCTAATTTATAAATGGCCTTGGAAAGCCTGATGGTTTTTGACCTCAGTGCGACTGCTACTGCTCGATGCGTCGACTACTACTCAGAACACACAACACTGAGGCCAGCATGCCTATTCCAATGATGTCACTTCAAGCTTTTTTCAAGGCGCGACCATGGTGTCGGCAATTCCCTGCAATTCTCAGCCCTACACTGCCTCACCTTAAAGCCCCTTGAAGCCACCAAATATAGGCATAATGTGCCTTAAGGTTGACATTAAACTTAATGTACATTACATTGCGGCAACACTAATCACCAGTGATTCACCACTTAAGGACTGGGAATAAAATTCCGGTCCCCAACTTTTAAGTATATTCAGGTTACAGCAGCGGTGGCCCTATGTTGTTTACACTTGTAAAATGCCAGCTGTCATGCATCATGGATTCATGGATCCAGGGGTTCAAAAATAAGAGTTAGGAGTTCAAAATAAATGATATAATTAATGATTGTATTTGTAATTTAAACCTTATATTTTGCAGGTAGAATAAATATCTCGAATATTAATGTAGCTCGTTTTTTTTGTAAGCCCCGGAACGACAGCTGGGTAGGAGGCTGGAAAAGGAGGATATACAAGAGACGACACATACACACGTAGCAACAACAACACATTCCCGATTTGGGCAGCCAGAGTTTTAATCCCCCTAACCACTCACCTAACCTTCTAATCTAACCGAGAATGCACTACCGCGCGGAGAGAATATATCCCTAAACCTAACCATTAACCCTAACCTCCTAACCTTACCCTAACCTCCTAACCCTACCAAGAACGTGCTACCGCGCGGGGAGACCGAAGTAAGAGCACGCTACTGCGCGAAAAAACACTAACCCTAACCAAACCCTAACACTAAGCCCTAACAGTAATGGCAGCTATTCAGCATGTACTTCGGAGTGTCAAAAATATCAAATTTGATGGGAGATCAACGACACATCGTCATGTGCCTAGGTGTGTTGGGTGTCTCTTCTTGTCCGTCCTGCTGGAAAAGCTGACAAGTTTTTTGTAGATTTGCTGATGAAGAGTGTGACACTACCCTTGTCACAATCTCCATTTGACTATGGAAAGTCTTCCGCCAGCTTTGTTTTTGTAAGCTGATGGTCAATTTGTAAGCAGTGACCCCAGAAACCCTAAGCTCTCAAATCAATACATCCAAATCTGGACCCTTGCACGCCATATGTCATTGCTCCAGAGACTCAGGCGGCAACTTGAAGATGTGGAGTGCATGGTTAGCTCTTTCACCTAAGTATGTACCACCCATGTTGTTAATCAAAAAACTCGTACAATGCAGACTCCGGTCAACACTACATTGTTGCCGTTCAACGTTGGATCAAATTGTTTGCGGATTATTCAAGTTATCCTGCTCCGTACATTTTTATGCTCACTTTGTGATGGTTGTCTTATACACTTGTATTTAGGTTTCATGAAGAAGGCATAATGATGATACCGCCCATGTGTGTAGGAAGCAGATTTGCCTTGAATTTGCTGCCAGATCATCCATATGTGTTTGGCTATCATCCTCACCATCGCACTCCATCTCTTAACTCCAAACACAACCCAAAGGTTGTCTCTAACATTAGTAACAGGCAACACATCGAACTGTTTGTCTTGTTCAGACGCACGCACCTCCGATGATGTTGAATGCCAATAACACCTTAGCCAAATGCTGCCCCACATAACAAGTACATGGCGGGTATCATTATTATAAATCTAGCAGGTCATTAACGATGTTCTTCAGAATTTACATGCCCCTTCACAAGCCCATCTGTCTTCACAAATATTCCTTTGCCCTATGGTCCTGGCATTCCCCCCTCAAAATCTCAGGTGCATTAAACAGCCTCATCCCAAGATTTATTTGCTCAACAAGGGGGTTCCTCTGCGTCGAATGGGGTGCATTTGCACATTTACCAAGGTACGGAAACAGTTTCACAGGCTCATCATCCGGCAAGTTGATCGTTGAATCTGCCGACACAGACCATCCAAAATCAAGCAGCTTGATCATATGTCGGCGTCGTCACCTGCATATTAGCAAGCAAAGACACCTCTCCATGACTCGGCCGATATGATTTTTTCAGGTGCATAAGCCCATCAAGCACTGCGGCCAGCTGGTTGCAGTAATCGACCTTTTGCGCTGGTAAAGCGTCCGATCATCAACAAACCCCAGCACCATACCCACGTTCTCCACTGGCCTGAGAAACATACAGATGTTGCGGTGCTGTGATAGGGTACAGTCACATCAGACACATTGGACTGCATCTCGCCATTAATCTCGATGTATCACATTGGGCTTCTTCACAATGCACTTGAACTGTTCAGACCCATAAGCAAACGGCTCCAGGTTTTCAGTTGCATTCGGCAGGGCACAATAAGTACGCTGTAGGCATGGGGAAGGAAAAGATGGACATGGGATGACGTGGTGAGTTGTACATATGCGAAGGAGAGTCTGGAGGCGGGCTTCCGTCCGTTTTAGATCTCCAGCATGGTGGTGGTGGTTGTGATGATGCTGTTTGTCACTGCCGTGGTTGTAAGCATGAAACACAACAGGCTCAACAATAGTTTCTTTTGAGGACGAGAACGAATCTATAGAGAACTTGAATGGAAAACATCACACATTGAGTACTTATTAGCCCATTGCTTCAACAGTTCAACTGCATGTTTTTAACGTTTTGCAGCCGTTATCATGCACATCCGTGCAAAATTCATGACACCAGTTTCATGGTGGTGCGCACCAGCGCGACGCAAGCGCGATGGTGGTACATTGGTTTGGGATAGCGAGCGACGCATCTTCCAGTGTCAATGTGGCACCCGCGATATACTTAACTCCTAATTATTGATACCTCTACCCTAATAATGGTCTATGTAATTTAATATGATCTACATACAACACATAGAGATCAGAAAATGCCCTTGAAGCTAGGTATTGCGTTGTGGAAAATCATACTCAGGGTCCAAAATTTTGACATATTGATGTTGGTGCACAGAGTTTCTGGGGTCACTGCTTACAAATTGGATCAAAGCTTACGAAAATGGAGCTGGTGGAAGACTGTTTCCATATTTGACAGTCACACCATCATCAACTTCTCTCACCTGCTCCTTTTTTTCCTTCTTCCTTTTCTCTTGTTCTCGGTCAGACATAGGTTTGGTGAATGCACGTGGCACGGGCCTTCCTCCGCATAATGTGTAGCGATCTCCACGGGCTGGACAAGAAGACACTGTTCATCCTCGGAACAAGCTGGCACAAAGACGGACGAAACTAGTGGAAGCATTTCGACAGCATACTGGCAACAAAATTTGAATGACTTTGCGCCTGATGTATCAAAAAAAACATACCTCGACACTAAATGAAGGAAACCTGCACGTAGGCTGTAAGTCCTTGGCGAGATGTATCTTGCCCTCCAAAGTCTTCAGATACATATCCTGTGGAGCATCCTTAGGTGGGGCCCACCATACTGCCAACTCGATTTCATCTACCTCCTTCACGTCCCCATGTTTACCACCACCGATATTGAATTCTTTGACTCTGGACAGTGAGTTTGAGAACCCAGCAGCAAGGGAGTCACTGGAAGTCGGTGGTTCGTTTGAGAAATTCTCAGTGGCTGGTGACGAATATTGGGCATAGCGGACCCGCCGTGTGAGCCGGACAATGGGAGACTTGGGTGTTAAGAGAATGCTGAGAGCATGGGAATTTGAGCTTTCAAGGGTCAAGTAGCACGGAATGATGGTGCCATGGGTATAACAAAGCTGAAAAGATCATGCTTCAATCGTTTATCAGAGAAGAAGAGATAGTAAGATTTACGGGTTTGGCAAGTGAGAGAGTACATTCCACTTCTACTTTTTGCTGGCCTAGAAGCTCCCCAGAAACCGTAACTTTCGGGAGAGTTTGCCATCCATCCGGATCTTGTGCTGGTCCAGGCAGCAGGGCATGTTCAGTATACACTCGCTGGCGAGCGACCGAAGCTGGGGGAGGGGTGACAGAAGGTGTATAAACGATCGTTGTATTCAATCTAGTTGTCAGTTTCATTAATCAAATGTTCTTCGAAACAGTGAAATCAATTTACTTGCTAGCCGGGCGCAGCATCCCGTGCGCAACATGTAAGCCAAGCTCGTATTGCACGTTCGCATGGATGCCACGCTCCAAGAAAGTTTGAGGAACAGGAAATACATGCATTGGAAGGGTGTGACTGCGGCCTTCAAGTTGTGCCAGAGCTCGGTCCTGCTCCTCTGCTGCTCGGTCTTGCTCCTCTACTGCTCGTTTCAGTCTCGCCTTCTCTGACTCTTCTGGGGCGTTCGTACTCAAGTGCACAGATGAGGGGTTCTCTGAACCTGGAGAATAAGTGGCATTCGCGGGTATACTGAGTGAATGGAAGCGTGAACCAGGTGGCACAGTGGCAGGTGGAGACGAAATCGATGTTGTTGCTGTCGCAGGACTCGAACTGGATGTAGAGATAGAGTCCGAAGAAGTTTGCAATGACGGTGGGAGGAAGGGAGTAGAAGTCGATATATCTACATGGGTGGGGAAGGGGAATACAAAGGGGAACTGGTACGTCCCCTTAAGTCTTCCATTGAACTTTTTGTTGGACCCTGGTTCTGGGGAACGGGGATCCCCATCGGCGCGTGTCCAGATGCTGACTTGGTGGTCAAGAAATGTGTCGGATTCTTCAGCAAGGTAACCTCTTATGATGTGCCCATGGACCTAACATAAAGGATCAGTACGTTGTGCATCCCTAAGAAAAAATCTAAACCCACAGAGACAGTCATAGAGTTGACAGTCTGAGGGCTATCCAGCGTGAACTCAATCAAACCCGCAATCATATCACCACTTGAGAAGCAGGGAAACTTCTGGTGTCTTGGTGAAGCATTGAGCAGAGGTTGGCTGAATACACGTAACGTAGCCCATGGCTTGTTCTTCAACCCACTGCAGATGCTGTATGTGTGTTCGGTGTGCGAGACCCCTTCTTCTGTGACTTGCTGGGATGGAACATTGAACAGGTGAGAATATTGAGAGGGAACGAACAAATATCGAGGGGGAACTGATGAAACCGAAACCCTAGAATTGCTATTGCCTGAGTGGGAAGTGCCCCCAGCTAAGGTGTCAGCTTGCGAATGAGTGAGTTCCCTGTGCGCGCCAAGATCGTCGCCTGAGAGGGCAACAGTGTCAGGCTCCTGGTTTAACACCGAATACTGAGGTAGGAGTGTATTAATAGTGTCAAGAGAAGCCATAGAGGTACAATTATGAAATCTTCCAAGAACACCTGAAGGCAAAGGAGAGTCGTCACAAGTAGGTAGAGAGTGCAGATCCTGAGATGCTCGATGACCAGCCATGCGCTAAAGGGCGAAACTTGACGAGATGAGCTGCTTTCACCTAAGACAGCCTTTTAAGCTGGAAATTGGTGCCCTGCTCTTCAGCGATGTGCTTGCCATCATGATTCAACAAAAGGAGTCCTGAGCAGCATGCAGAGGTGACCGACCATCTCCACAAAACAAATGGTGTGTGGGCACACAGGAACCGTGAAGCATCCACTCCCAAACAAGAAACAATAAGGAAGGCTCCTCAGGTTGTCCTAGGGTTGGCTTCAGGCGCTGCGTGGGTGAAACGGTAGTGCGTGAAGGGGAGAGATGGCCAGGGGTTGTTTCATTGAAATGACCAGCCCCCACAGATGCAGATCGCAATCTATTGCAAACCTGTTTGAGCTATATGAAGGGAGTCGTGCGGTTTGTAAGTTTTGAACTTTGTGGTAAATGTGATGTCAGTACAGAGACTTCTGGAGTCTCGGGTTGCATCAGGAGCGTATACAGATGATACTACGAGTCGGAACTTCTCTTTGAAGATCGCAATTGTATCTCCAATTGGACCTAGTGTTTAAAGGTTCAGTTCAGTCCGGTTTTTTGCCCGAAAATGCGCAACCGTGGACCGCAACCGGTCCAGGACCGACCCAGATATTGAGGGAACCGAACCGAACCACCTAGGACCGGTCTTTTGTGGTCCATGATACCGGTTCAGACCGATCCAGACCGGTTTTTTTGCGTATAATTTATTATACCAATATAAACCATTTGTATCTCAACCATTATTACTCTGAAAAATAAACAGGTTATATAAAATAGTAAAGCATATAAATACCCATCATTCTACCAATTTTCAAGAGATTTGATGAAGATTTGACATAGCTATGACTGAAACCGAATTACATCTCATAGAGACTTGGGTAAAATATGGATTTGGTTATATATTTCTCAATTCTTAACCGTTTTTGATGAAACAAAAACCCAATAAAAGGCAATAAATGTGGTTACAAGGCTATGTAACGCACGTGACCGTTTAACCGGTTGCAACCGATTAAAACCGGTCTTTGAACAGGTTTAAAAGATTTTCGAAATGAGGCAACCGGCAACCGGACCAACCCAAAATTGGGGCAACTGCAACCGAAAAAAAGACCGGACCATGGTCCGGTTCAGTTCGGTCCACCGGTTTTTTGCAGTCCTATGGACTGAACCTTTAAACACTAATTGGACCTCTCCAACAAACATGCAGTCCACTGTTCAAGCCATTGATTAGAATAGAGGATTCAGTTGGGATTCAGTCACCAGTGTTGCTGTTGATAAGCCTAAGAAATCTTCTTTCAAAGGTCAAGTCGCATACAAAAGGTCCTTGACTCGCAAGCCATCCAGTATTTTGCGTAGCCAGGTTATAAAGAGGTATAACAGATAGGGAAACCAAGATCACAAGGAGGCGGGATCGAAAATGCACCTTGTGTAATGATGTCATCGCTGAAGAACAAGCTTCTGGCGATAGAATGTCGCAAGCATCCATGAGAAATCAACCTTATCAGCAGAATGTTAGACAATACTTAGAAGATCGTGCCATCTGATTTTTGTCAATAGTGGTTGAGAACACAAGTAACTATTGTTCTCCTAGACAATAGGTTGAAAATCCTGGGATGACAGTGACCAAACAGCGATCACTGGCAGCTGCAGAAGTTTGGCAGAAGTAGTTACTAGCTGTTTTTGGACTTCTGTTGGCATGAATGATGATGCCGAATTCATAGTAGGTAGTAGAGGAAAGAACGAACAAGGATGTCGTGTATGTTGGGTGTGAGCAATGAACAAGGCATAAGATGAGGACAAGGCTTTTCATCGAGAGAGGAGGGATGTTTGTTTGTGTGGGCACAACTGTGACTAAATTAAAGTGCCTCACCTCAGGCCTAGTGCCTCTACATGCTTCTGAGCCCTCAGAGGCCAATTCTTTGTCTGAGGGTAATTGGCCTGAGAGGGGGGTCTGCCTGAGCGCTGATGGTGCTGATGGCTATTAATAGTCTCATCAAATCAAGATCGCTGACACAGTGACGAGGCATGAACAGATCAGTGACAGTGGATGTCAGGAAACGACATCCACTCTCACTCAAGATCCACTATTTGGCCACAACATCCACTACCCCCTTCGGACATCCACTCAAGGCCCCCGACATCCAGTGAAGCACATTCAGGTTTGCTTCCCCTTTCGGACTCACTGCCGCCTACTATCCCGACGCCTAAACTGACCCAATGGGCGCGGTTTGTTTGGTCCAAACAAACAAGTTGAGATTGAGCTCTAGTATTTACAACGTAGCACACTCAAATGGCATCCGTTTGTTTTGTAAATGGATTTGTTCGACGCAGATTTTAATTCTGCATCTAGTCATGCAAGATAATTTATCAAAGTGTGAAAGAGTGACTCTTCTTTTGTTGCAACAACCTTCTACCAGTGCCTTGGAAGAAGGGGGATTATCCTTCTCCCTTAACCCTCACCAGTTTCTTCAATCTTTTTTTTCTCATTAATTTTGACCTTCAGCTTGCCAGTAAAACTGTTTTTGTACAGAATGGTGCAGAATTGAATTAGTAGAATTTAGTACAAGTAGCTGTGGCTATGTTTTAGTAGTGATAGCAATGTGCCTCTGTAATAAAAACCATATCATATTATATATCAATAAAACTACAAAGGGAGTGTTTAGAATGAATTGTATGTAGGAGGGATGAGAAATGATGGATCCAGGGACTCGTCAAAAACAAAGTTTCCGCTGCAACTGGGAAAAATTGTGCCAGATCGAGTGGGAGAGCTATTCGGAGCTGGTAAGCGATATCCAGAATATGGGGATGACAAAGTACTGTTTTGAGTCATGTCGAAATTAGAGGGAGATCGCAAGCACCACATTGGGGTTGATTCAAACGTGAAGGGATTGGTTGGGCAGTGCAATACCAAAGAGCACGCAGGGCTGGGGTTACCAGAGAAAACATCCTCATGATAATTGGCTTCAAGATCTTCACTGTCAGAAAACTCCACAGATTGCAATGGGCCAGCAATAGGATGTTGAGGGGCTGCTACAACCTTCGTGCCTGGTTTGGCTTTGGTTTGCTTGATGCCACTTGCTGACTGGAGTTCCTTTTTTCTCGCATGAAGTTCTTTTGCACGTGCTGCCGCCTCGTTTATTTGGTTGGTGATGTCATCGAGCTTGTCGATGGCATCGTTTCGAGCTTCTAGCTTCCATGTGCAGGCATCTCGGCGCTTTCGATTTGCGTGGTCATGTTCAGGCTGGGTGTTATAATGGTTTGAAAGAATGCAATCCTTCTCCATTTGCTCTCACTTAGCCTCGATGTTGAGGTCAAGCTCATGGGCTCTAAAAATGTGTTAAATAGTTTCACTAGAATTCAGAGGTAAGATTCTCATACTTTTGAATAGCTTCCAATATCTTCAAGTTTGTTCCTGTATGTTTATTTGTATATGGATGGGCACTCTCGTTGAGATTGGTGTCGGCTGGCGTAAGATACCAACCTTCCTTGGAAATCTTACTCATAAACCGATTAAGAGATGGTATAAACCAAGGACTTTGTTTTTTGTCAACTATCCAATCTGAATAATTAAAAAACTTGGGTTTTATGTCACGAAGAATTGAGCTGTCAAAACATACCTTGGACTTTCTTGTGTTCGGAATTTTCACACCACTTGATGAATTCATCAACTTCTTCATGGGTCTCAAGGAATGGAAACCCACAGATACGATTCATAACTTTATCAGGACAGGATTTCGCAAGATCCTCAAATTTTCTGTTATGAATCTAATCAGTGAGGATTCAAGTAATGAGCAGGTATCTGTACCAAACAAGATGGACCCAACATGTCCGAATAATGTGTTGTACAATTATTTGAGGGTCCCGCTCAACAATAAGGTGTTTTTCACGTTTCTGAACTCAGTTGAGGAGATCATCTCTGCATGCATCCACTTGTGGTTTACAACCATCAACAAGAATCGTGCGAAGTCCAGTTCCATCAATAAATCTAAAATGAACAAACTTTCCTGTCACTTTTTTGACAGTATCCCATAGTCCAGACCACATTTGTAGAAATGCCGCCTGAGTCTCGTGAGTGCAATAAATGCATGCCACAGTGACTCCTAATGCAAAAATCTGAATGTGAGGACCTAGTACGACCTGTTGAAACAAAATAAACTTACTCATGTTTAGCTGCTTATCCCAAATGACAACTTCCCATTCTTTCCACTTCCTGTACACTTGCTTATATGTGTTATCATGTAGGGTTGAATCAGCTGTGTGGATCAATGCGGCAAGGGAGGGAAGCATGGTAATAATCATATCGACTCCATCCTGTGATTGCACTTCATGAATGTACCTCTTCTCAGGCAGAAGCTCGTGGTTTTTTCTGTGCATGTACAAAACTCCTAAAATTCGCAAAAATGAGATATAAGCAAAGTAGGTATAAAAATAAAAATTTCACCCTCCAATTCATTCCCATGAGGATTATTCTCATTTCTGACTTCATGGACCAGCTTGCGGTGCAGCCTTGATATTGCTAGGGCAGGGTCTGCCAATGCGGGAATGTCACCATTAAAAAATGCTTTCGTAGAAGGGGCTAGATGTTGGGAGATTTACACATTAAACTTTGTATTAAAACATCCAAGGAACTATCGGCATACCCTTATCAAGATTCAGAACGGTAAGTCCGATTGGTCCTGCCTTTCTCGCAGCCTCCTTGTATTTATCCTTCCCATCACGTGAGAGTTTGGTTGTGACAAGCATAGGGTGGTTGTGCGCTCCCCGCAAAATAACGATGGCGCGATGATCAGATCGATCAACTGGTGAGTATATCTGAATTAATGTAGGTCAGTTACAGTGCATGAGACGCCCTTGCACAACTTTTCTGTCCTTGACGTGAGAATACTCTGTGAGCGTGTAAGTCAGGAACAACCTGAGAGAAAGAAAAAATAAAGAAGCTCACTGCATTTCCTGTCCCCCTTCAAACCTGAACGAGCAGAAATAACATGAGCACATGCCTTCGTATTGACGAGAGTCTTCAAAGATTTGTCCCCAGATGTTAATAGTTCTTTGACATGACCTTCATTCACTTCTTTAGGGATGGATACAAAGCGATGGGATTTTCTGTCGCCATTCATGTATCTCAAGCAGCCAACAAATGATTTTTTCCCATCCCAGTTGACCTAAAATACATTGTTATTGACAAGGGGGTGTCGGGATATAAAAAAAAGACCTAGGGTCGATTTTTTTGGTAGTGAGTGCTGGGCTGAACCAACCACCCAACGTAATCAGGCACATGTCTATTTTAGGAAATATGACATCACCGCTGTCTTCCTGTCCTCCTCTCGACGTTGAACATGCATTGCAGACCCAATGCATGGGCACCTGTGCAAGGTAAATACAAATGAGGTGATATCAGAATGGTTTGACATGAAGATGTAAGTACATTTTACATTGAAACCCTAACAGAAAGTGGGTTCAATTGCCCACACAGTTTCACATCCCACTGGATCACATTGTTGGTGGTCAGCTCTGCTCGGGATCCACAAAAGCAATCCTCCAATTGACAACCTTACATTTTCGTCTTTCACACCGACCTCATGTTTCCTCGCTGACAATTTTCGAGCTTGAAATAGATGGCCTATGAACCACATTGGTGTCAGAATGAGACACGGCATGAGCATCCTGTTCCGTGGAATCTTAATATGAGTTTGTGTGCCCTGGAATATGCTACCAAATTATAATTAAAGGTTGTTAGCAGTTGCCACACTAACGAAAGTTATCGTCTGATGTTATTATTGTCTTATGTAAGCAGTCTCAGTTGTGTTTTTTGGCACATCCTGAGGCATTTAGCACATCTTGAGGCTTTCTAGTATCTATTATGTATAATTTATCCACCAGGAAGGCCGCCTATAATGTTTTTGGGCCAAAATTTTTGAGCTTCCAATTTTTTTTTAACAGCCTGATGGCCCAACCAACCAACCAGCCCCTGGTCCGGGATTATGATCCCGACACCCCCTTGGTTATTGAACATTAAAATTTAAAATGTCAATCTAGGAACTTACTTTATTCATTTTACAATAAACGGCGACTCCTGTGCATGGGGTTCCACTTTCATCAACAGCGGGACATGCAATCCCTTTGGCTTCTTTGACAAAGCTGAAATAATATATAATTTGAGAACCTCAAAAGCGGATAAAGAAAAAACTCACGCAACTGCTCGCAACTCGACAATAGATGTTTCTTCCGTATTAACTTCTCGTTCTGCATTAAAAAGTTCTCAGTGCTCATCTTCATCAGGCTTATAGCGCTCACAGGAATCTAAAAGGCTGGGATCAATCAAGGGGGTGGCGGAACGTGGAAAATGTACCAACACTCCCTATTTTTTTTCGTGAGTTTGGATGACCTCCCCCCCTCCCCCTCCTACCATATAAGGTATGTTTTTCCGAGTTCCAATGTTTTAATGAATATTTTTTTGTCCTACGGTCTTGGCTTCTAAAGAATTCTGTACCTACAACCTTAGCCTACCTACTTATCAACTGAGAAGTCACTCTAAAATCACAGTGAAGATGCTCTGCAAGTCTTTGCAGGGGGGAACATGTGTGAGCCAAAGTGCTGAGCTTTAAACTGTCAACAGCGTATGTACATGTAATAAGACAAGATTGCGTTGAGCTCAGCCATGGCGTGCAAAGTGGCTTTGTCTCCACTATCGTCAACAAGGTGAATAAACTTCCTTCCTTCTTGAAAAGTTCGTTTGGAGCCTCGAATTTGGCCTGAACACAGTTTGGGTGGGTAAAATGCCCAGAAAGAGAAAAGGGAGACCTCATACCCACATTCTGTGTAGAGTTTGAGGAAGAGCAGCTGGCAGCAGTTGGAAAGTGGTGGGCGGGGATGGATGTTCCATCATCGTTGTAGGTGATGAGCAGGAGTACATGAGGGCATTGAAAGTTGCTGGCGCTTTGGATCGTTGATTCATTCTGAGCCAACATTTGAATCCGTCTGGGAGCTGTCATGCCAGTGCAGTGTAATAGAAAGAGAGGGGAGAAACCCACAGTATACTGTAGTCTCCCCAGACAGACGCATATCGAGTTCAAGACCATAACTACCCAATTCCACAGGCAAGATGCACAGAGGAAGGAGGCAGGGAAGGAACAGACCTAGTAACAGAACACAACTTCTCCTTGATCTCTCTGACTGTCTCGAAATCCACCGTGTGATTGACTGTGTACCTGTGCATGTGAAGCAGCTTGATCAGATATCGCGTGCAGCATCACGTCCCGCCCAGCGATGTCTAATCCCCACATGAGGTGCGGCATTGTGTACCCGTTATACGGGCACAATATGTGTTATGCTGTCTCCCAAATCGACAAGCACACCCGTTCAATGCTTTGGTTGGCTGATGCTCAATTTGCAACAAAAATAGATCATGTCACTATTTGTTTTTGGGCCTTCAGCCGGACCCCCCCCCCCCTCTGAGCCAGTGTTTGGGATCGGATCCACGTTCGAGGTCTTTACCCTCCCCCACGTAATCCATATGGACTCCAGTGGACTCCAGTGGACTCCAGTCCAGTCCAGTCCACTGGACTCCTACTGGACTGCCAGCCACTTTCCTGAGTCCAGTCCCAGTCCAGTGGACTATGAGTCCAGTCAGAGTCCAGTCATTCCAGTATATTATTATTATTATATATGAATATAACTAAAAAAGCGAAAATGGACTATACAATAGACAAGTTATACCTACAATTTTATTAATCAATGAATGGAAAGATTATAATTTACATACAGTGTGGGTCAGTGATAGCTGCAATAAGGATTCATGATTTTGTTCAGTCTGCGGGGTGAGGTCACGTGACTTACTTGAGGGCGTGCCATATCGTCACGTCGCCTGTTTGTGGGATGGTCACACTGCCGTGACCATCCCTTTCCCTTCCACCACCACCACCATTCACATCTCAACGCCGCCGACGACGCCCACGCCCACGCTAACGACGCACACGACGCCCACGCTAACGACAACGACACCCCCAGCGCGGAACGATGGACCAAGGACGAGGGACAACGCCCATGACGTGGCAACGTCATGGGCAGGGGTACGTATGCCCCACCACCCCGTTCCTCCGTTCTCACCACGACAGGCACGACGCCAGCAACCACCCATGCACGGCACATGAGGACGGCGACAACGACGACACGTGAACACGACGAAACGCGAGCACGACGACGACGACGACTACACGCCGGGACGACGACCCACGACAACGACACGCCGGGACGACGACACACGACGACGACGACGACGAACGAGCGCCGACGAAAACGCCGCCCCCACCACACCCGAAAAACGACGAGCGCCCGCCAGCGCTGAACGGCGACGAGGGCCCAGCAGCATCACCCTTCCCCTCCACTCTCTCCCCCCATCACTACCTCCTCTCTTCACCACTCCCACTCCCCTCCACTCCCTCCCCCCTTCACACCTCCACTCCCTCCCCCCTTCACACTCTCCCCCCTTCANTCTCTCCCCCTTTCCCCCC